CAGATCATGATGGCATCGATCACAAGTAAAGTGCGACAGTTCGATCGAAACGGTGAAATGTAGTAACTTGTTATGTATCGTTTGAAAGCTGAATAAATACCCTTTTGATTGACGTTTTGATCAACCGTGTATGTTGTTTAATTCTTGAGTTATGATCACTTTGAATCGGGCTTTAGTCGAGTATAAAGTTTTAATTTCAATTTCAAGCAACTTTGTTCAAGAAGCACTTTTTATATCTATGTCTAAAATTGTATGGCTCATTTAATTAAACTTGTATCTAGAACATTTCTGTCTGATTTAAAGTTGCATCTTTGTTATACATTGTGTTTGTCTATAATTAGTTACTATAAGTTGCACTTGTAGTTTTTACACTATAAATGAATGAAAGCACGATCTTTCAAATGTAACTAATAGCATTGAAATCTATTTGCTCATTTTTGAGATATCAGCATATGCAAATAGCATGTTTTTCTACAAAAAAACGTGTATGATTTTATAACGTAAAGGGACAGCAGCTTAGTCACTTCAGCATCCCGACCAGGAGAAAATTACTAATTAATACCTACTTCTGACCTGATACCAAAATTTGATATTGACCAGCATGACATGACAGGTAAAATACGAAAGAATAATACCTACAAAAAAAAATACTTGCAAAATACTTTGTACATAAAAAAACTTTATATTTGAATACCAAAAGAATACCTGTGTTATCGCAATTTGGTATTGCAATAGTATTGTAGGAACATTTTTTGGTATTTTACCTCTTATGTGAGACTCATCCATACCAATTTAAGGTATCGAGATATTTGTTCCCGCTAGGGTTGTGTCTTTAAAAGTTCTAATAGTGTCTAGTACAAATCATTTGCAAGATATCAATGTACAAAAAGTTTATGTAGAAAATTATTCATAGAGGCCATTCTAAGTAAGTATTTTAAAACCAGAATAAAACGAGAATCATTAGAGATATAAAATTTGTAATTTCTGCAAAGTTGTTTCAAATTAATTGTTCAACAGCTTTGTAGAACATTGTGTTGGTCAATTTAAAATAGCTAAAAAGCTAATATTTTGAACTCCGTAAGCATAGAGATCACCGTTATTGCACTTAGATCAAAATATTGACCAAAATATTATATGAATTTTCCATTAGACACCATTTACCTGAAACTTATGGTATAAGCGCAAACAATTCTAATTACCTAAATATGGCTTTGGAACCTTTATCCTGTGGCTACCAGGCATCGGGGGTGTTATAGATCTTTTAAGGTTATGTCAAATGTAACATTTTTTCTGCCACCGATAATTTTGGGATGTAGGTTGAAAATCTGAAATACCATGTTTCCCTCAAAAAATAGGGCCTAATTGATGGTGCAGGTAACGTTTTTGTAAATCAAATGTTCGTTAAGATAGTGCCATAATGTGCTATAATGGTAAGCGTCTAATGTCAAATGGAAGTGATACAGTTTTTTTGTAGAGTAAATTGCTGGATTATTTATATATAGCCATTCCTTAGATAAACGATATAGTGGTTCTCAGAATTTCGTAAAAATTGGTAGTTTTGTTCCTCATCGCAAAACATTAAACCCGTATTTTTATGTTGTCCTTTAGGTAATCATTACCATGTTAGGGTGGTCCAAAAATTTGATTTATTTTTTAAAATGACTTTTTTTCTTCAAAATTGTCTTTTTTCAAAAAAATTTAACTTTTGAACCGTTGGGCCGATTCCAGAGATCGAAATATCAAATGAAAGGTAATTAAACTTTTTATAAAAAATGTAATAACATTAAAAAATTTGGATTTTTTTGGATTGTTGAAAAACATTGATTGTTGAAAAACATTGATTGTTGAGAAACACTGAGTTATACTTTTTAAAGTTATCATGTTTTGGGATGTTTGCTCAATAATCCTATGCCACTAGACTACCATGCGTCGCCATTTATTTATAGCGAGACTTTAATATAGTCATGACGCCTGGTAGTCTAGTCGCATAGGATTATTGAGCAAACATTCAAAACTTGATAGCTTCATAAAAATATGTTTCAAAAACGAAAAAAAACACATTGCTGATTTTTGATATATTGTGTAAAAGGTCTAAATTTTCCAGGAAAAATACAAAAGCATATTGCACCTACTGTTTACAAATCTTGAAAAGCATAAAAAACAAATACAATCCATATTTCTCAATACAAAATGCAATTTTTTTAAAATATAGTTGTATATTTCCTAAACAGTATTTTTAATAACCTTTCATTTGATATTTTGATTTAAATTTTTGAATAAAGTCATTTTTGGAAAAAAAAAATCGATTTTTTGAACATCTTTAACATGGAAGTGGTCACCCTAATCACAAAAAAAACGGGTTTAATATTTTGCGATGAGGAACAAAACTACCAATTTTTACGAATTTCTGAAAACCACTACATCGTTTTGCTGTGGAATGGCTGTATATTGACATAAATTTCTATAAATAAGAAGGTAATGTAACATTCTCAAACAAATGATATTAAAATCAGTAGCCATGAGGACTCTATCGGTCTGCATGATTACTTATCAAATTGGATGTTTTTTGCTCGATTATTCATAAGCAATCAAAAATGAAGCTTGTGGTGCCAATTGAATAGAGTGGTTAGTTAACAAAGATTGATGATAGTAGCCAAGAAATGCTTTCTCCCTGGTAGGCTTTGGTAATATTTGCTAGTGCCCAAGCAAAAAGTGGTAGTGTTGCTCAGCAATGTAAAATAAATAGATCAATAACTCGGTAATGAATGATTTTTCGACCTACCTTGCCATGCACATTTTTGCTGCAATCGACGTATTCAATACATTACCCACGGTGATTTGCCACAATCGACCAACCAGAGATCTTCTGCCAATCAGTGTCCGGTCTTCGTTTGACAACAAATTCTTCAATGCACGACGTGTAAATATTTACATTATTGACAAATTTCGCGTCACCTTTCAAATAGACCAACCTACATTGATCGAATCTCTTCATCGACTCTCTCTTTCGTTAATAACTTGGTTACATTCGTTAATAATTTGGGTATAAAACCGTTTCTTGTAATGTTTGTGGTATTAGAAGATAGATAACAGCTTCTTTCGTCGATCTGAATAAGCTGAAAATAGCTGGGAATGTTCGTGGCCGTGATGATATAAAAAGAAAGTCGACGAAGAGATTCTGTCAATGTTACTTAGAACCTAATTCAATGTTCAGCTTGAATTGAGCATTTGCATGCTTGGTTTTAAATGCGCATTTCGCTATTAAAAATATTTTTTAATGATATCATGAGATGTGATATTAGGTGATACAAAATATCACCTAATATCACATCTCATGATATCATTAAAAAATATTTTTAATAGCGAAATGCGCATTTAAAACCAAGCTTACACATGCTCAATTCAAGCTGAATATTGCATTAGGTTCTAAGTTACAAGCACAGGTGGAGTGGTAAATGAGACTGCTTTCTCACCCCAGTGTGTCTAAGCTCATGCCCAGCAGTCGTTGGGATTTTTCTGAGGCGAAACAATTCTCTGGTCATGTCTTCATTCGGAAGGGACGTAAAGCCATTGGTCGCATTCCTGGCACTCTATTGCCATCATTGATTAATCGCTAATTGGCAATCGATGCTCGTCGGAGATTGGCACTATAGATACTATAGATTCCATAGATAAGCGGAGACGAAGTAGAATGTAGCCAAATGAACTGTCAGTTATTGTAGCCAAACGAGCATGGCGTCAATATGGTGTTTTTTTGCGGGAGAAGTATTGTAATATTATGTGCACAAAACGCTTTCCACACTCCACATTCCGATTTATTTCGCGAAAAACGGAGGAACGAAACCACTCCTCGATTCATTGTTGCAAAGATTTGCTTTGCACTTTATTTTGAACTTTTGCGCACGAAAGAAAACAAAACAAAACAAAACTGCTCAACGAAGAGCTCTAACAACATATGACCTTCGAGAAATCATCGAGAGAAGTCATTGTTTACAAAAGCTGTTACGCCCTAATTCCAGCTCTATCTAGATGTATCGTTGGTCTGTGTTGAGCAACCAAGTGCCAATTGCCGACTTTTGATACTTAAAATCTAATTTAACTTTCAGAAAGTCACAATCAGCTAGAATTCATTCGTGCAGTATACTACCAACCGGTGGAAACTAACGATTTTAAATTGGCTCACTACTTGACTAGCCTATTCGTCCCAAGCAAATCGATTAACGTATCCCATTCTAGTCGAAATTCTAGTACCACATTATGTTTGTTTTGATTCGCTATGAAAGTTTGACAGATAAAATGAGGGGCTCGTGGATTTTCCTATGTTTCGAGGAGTGCATCGATTAGCTTGGGACCGAAGATAGTACCAGAGATGAGCCAAAAAGTTGAGCATATTTCTTCGGGACCTACTAGTCTTAGAGTTACCTCTATGATACTACCGTATTCATTTTTTAGGTGCATGGAGAAGATGCCTGAATGACGTAGCATTTTAGGGTGATTGGCCATGTAGAAAAATACGCTACAAGGGGAGGGGAACCAAAGTTGGTGCTTCATGAAACGTAAACAAACTTTAAATATTTGTTTACGTTTTATGCAGCACCATCTTTAGACTCCTTTTCCCTTCTAGCGTATTTTTCTACATGGCTGGTTACCCTAAAATGCTACGTCATTTATGCATCTTCTCTTGCTTATTAAGATCGTAAAATGACCAGTTGCGTGTTTTCCTCGTTTTAGTTACACAATTAGTGATGCACCAATTATATAGCATTTGGAGTCAGGTGGCAGGACACCATTTGGCAATGCTCGGCCTAAGGACGAGTAACAAAATTGAAGTTGACTTTGACTCCACCAATCATAAATCTCCTCCGAAATGCCACGTTTTTGGGTGCATCACTAGATCCAGTGTTTTCAAAAACCGCTTTTTATAGCTTCAGCAAATTGCGAAAAATAAATCGACATTCACCATGGAACTAAACCATCTCTTTCTCCTACCTCACTTACAGATCAATCCATACGTACGGCATGAACGGTAACAACAACAACCGAGCATACTGAGCGAGGTCTCAGGCTATATTGTCACTGTTTTACTAATATTAATGCTAATTACGATTACGATTATTTAAAATTCCTTATCGAATCCCGAGTAGTACTATGAAGAACAGCATCATCGGTAGTACAGGGAATGATAGGAGCGGATAGACAGATACATGAAAACATTTAGAGTTGTGAGTGCACTTGTGAGCGAGGATGAGATAAAGTCATTCGACGGAACGCGAAAAAATGATGGTTGTATATTTTTACAAAAAAAAAAGGAAATGTGTTAAGCAGAATGAAGATTCTTTAAAGTTAAACTTTGAAGACCAACGATCAAAAAAAATGAGCATGAAACTACTATTTTTAACATTCTCGTTTCAACATTGTACATAGCTTCGAGAAGAACAGAAAATGCTTTAAACTTGTTTTTATTGTCCTATTTTTTCTATAATCATTATTTACACCGAACAAGTTAAAAAGTGAAAAAAATCCAACAAAAAATATACGCATTTTATTTTTTAGCTACGATACACTATCACACTTTTAATCAACTCTAGAATGTACGACTAATTTATATTCGAACTATTAACATTATATCATCCTTTATGTCGTAGTTGTAGGTTTTATACATATATTTAAATGAAAGCGCAAAGTATCCCAGTTATATTGTAATTATTAGCTAGTAGAATATCGATTGTGACGAATTTATTTTATATGACCTTCTTCCTTTCCCTTGCGATTCAACAGGCTGTCAATACACTTTATAACAATAAATCAAACTTGGCTCAACGAACCTCACGTTGAAGTGCTGGTTCAAACCTTGTGTATTTTTTTTTGTTCGCACTCTCATTGACTACAATTCATAAATCCGGTAAACTTGTTGACAAATTGCTCCCAAACTCCCAAACCAATGAAAAGATCAACTAAGTAGAAACTTTTTGATCTTTTCGGCACAAACTCAAACAAAAAGTCACTTCAGCACAACCTCCAGAGGGAATTGTCCACTCATCACTAGAGAAAAGTAAAATTCAAAAATTCTCCATCCCTTCCTTCTTTAGCTACCGGTTTTTGTGCAATATTTTCGAATACAAATCACACCCTGGAGGAGAGCGGGTATTGAGCCACTTTTTCGCCCCGTTCCGACATGAAGCCTCAGCAAACTTCTAGCCGTGCTTAGAATAGATTCTAGTCTTACCCGTGAAGAAATCAACGAATACTGCATAGAAAAGCAAGAACAGAAAGAAGAAAAGCCGCCTGCTTTGGTTGAAGTAGAAATCCGAGAAGATGCAAGTGGAATGACTTGACATTTTGGCCTTCCAAACACTACCATTGTCCCGTTTTCAAGCTCTATTTGTTGTCCTATTTTTCATTATTTGAATAATTTTAGGACTCGGGCGATCCTTAAGATTCAAAAGCAAAACGCATATTTATTACTATACTTTATAGCTGCTAATAATCCTCTTGTATCCTGTGAGAGCATACATTGATTGATCTGTGTAAAGTGATGGAACAAAACGTACACACTACTGGAGAAAATGAACTAGGTACTGTATGTGCTATCGAATAAGCATTCCAATTTTATTGCCTATACAAAACATGTTAATATTTTTTTTTAAATCTTACGTGAAAAAGCGAAAGTGAAATAAATGCAAATATGAACGCTATAATGGTGTAGGAATCGACGGTTTATTGAAAGAAACTCCTTGGATGAACAGCCATTGTTGAGTCAGGGATGTCAGAGGGTTTTGACAAATGTCTTCAACTTGGTCCATCAATTGCTGTGAATTGCTGTTATCACATCTTGGGTACAAGATGATATGAATTGGCATGATATAGGGTACAGAACTACTTCGGCCTAATCGCGCATTTTGGGTCTTTCGAGCAGAACACATCCAATAAATCGACCGAATCAATTTTTATCTTCATCCGATAGTGGGAATTTAATTCAATGGCGTATCAATGCGTCAGGCTGAGTTTATAATCCGTAGGAGTTTAGCATCAAGAAGAAGTCTAAGATTTTTCATAATATATTAAACAATTGCTACTCTTTATATGGTCTTAAGGTACGTGTAAAAAAGTAAAAAGGCATCTGCACTGAAAACATTCCATTCCAACAATCCGCTCAAAAACTATGGACAAAGAGCGGGTTTCTTTCTTTTTGCTTGATTTGTTTTCCGTACTGACTAGTGAAAAAATTCTACCCCACAATTTAAGACCGAAGCAGCTTTGCCAGATATACCGATTTATCGATATTTATATCGATTTCCGAACTAGATACCGATATACAGATAAGGTTCCTCAGAATACCAATTTTTGAGGTTTTATTAAATAATCAAAATGGTTATTGCCTGCCCGCGCTCGAATTTCGGAGAAAATTATTGTGAGAGACTTGTATCTCTTTGAATATCGCAAATTTTTTGAGCCTTAAAAAAATCATCTTTATAAATGTCTCTTTCGATTAATGTTTCAATTTCCTCACCGTTTTTGGCTACCCATGAATCGATAAACAGTCGATGGCTCTTTCTGGTAATTCCGGGGAATCGGGAAATACTTTTTAAACTTTATTTAACTTCCTTAATTTTCTTCCACCTTACATCGTTAATTATTTTACGATTCCTCTCGGAAACTTATTTCGACTTCCCTTGGAAGTTTCTTCAACCTTCGCTCGAATGATTCTTCTATCTTTTCCTGCCAGTTTTTTCAACTTTCCCGGAACTTCAGGGATGCTTCCAGATTTTGATTGCGGATCCACACTAGCTGCAAGAACTTTTAAGAAGTTCTGAAAAGACTTTTAAGTAAGTTTCGATAAATTGAAGAATGTTTCAATAACTTCTGTTAAAATTCTAAAACCCGGTCCAGCGAACTCCAGTGAACTTAAGGAAACATCATAAATATTTTGGATACTTCACAAGTTATTTAATAGTTTTCAGTACAGTTCCATTAGTTTCAGGAGAATTGAGAGAACTTTAGGAAGCTCCGAGAACATCAGGACAGATAAATAAATTTCAAGGAAATCACTGACATTTTAAAGTAGTTCCGAGAAACTCAGACAATTTCCGAAAGCTTCAGCAATGTTCCGAGGGGCTCATGCAAATTTAAGAAACGTAAGGGAAGTTACATGAACAATAGCACATTGTGGGAAAATTTTATGGGAAGTTCCGTGCTTATTAATGTCTTCTTCTTCTTCTTCTTCGCATTTCAAGCTTATTACATATCGCATATTAGCTTATTGCGTGCTCTCAACTTAGTGTTCTAGATGCACTTCCACAGTTATTAATTGAGAGGTTTCGATGCTTGTACCATTTTTGCATTGATATGATTGTGTGGCAAGTCCAATCATACTTCTATGCCCAGGGAAGTCGAGAAATTTTCCAACCCGAAAAATTTCTAGACCGGACCAGGAATCGAACCCAGCCACCTCCAGCATGGTCTTGTTTTGTAGCTGCGCCTTTTCCGACTGAGCTAAGGGAAGCTTATTAATGGCAGTGTTGATAACTTATAAAAATTAGAAAAATCGGGAAGATCAGAGAACTTCAATGCTGATGTTACAATAAATTCATGAAAATTGTTAGAGCGTTTAAGAAATTTCGTAATCCTCAAGAAAGTCTAGAGACCTACAAAGTTGATAAGAGATATTCCGATAGTCTCATTATAATCAGGGAAGTTCCAAGTATTTCAAAGATGATCAGCTCTTTCTTGCGGAACTATGTCCTTGTTTCTTTCGACTGTTCCGTTAGCGCTCTAGCTTCCGACTTCCTCCAGATTTTTTTTTTCGATCTACCTTCTCCAGGAAGTTCAATTAAACTTCTTCCAGAAATTTCTTTCGTCTAGTTCTGGAATTTTGTCCAGTTGTTTTTTTTTTTGACTTCTATTGGAAGATTTTTCCGAGCTCCTTCTGGCTTCCCCTGTAAATGGCTACTTCTGGAATTTATTTCCGATTTCCGAAACTTTTCTGCCTTCCTTTGAATGAGAAATCCGATTTTTTTTTTCTGAAATTTTCTTTAAATTTTCGCCAGAAGTTTCTCAATTTATGTCTTGGAAGTTTCGCTGAAGATTTTCCGACTTCTCTCAGAACGTTCCTCAAATTTCCTCCTGGAGAGCTTCTTTCTTCTTTCTGTGGATGTTGTTTTCAGCTTCCTCCAGAAGCTAATTCAAACATTCAAACACATTTCCCGGAGTTTTTTTTCCGGAATTTTCCGATCATAGTCCAAAAGATAAAAATTTTCGCTTTCAAAAACGGTAAAAATTTAAAATAGTAAATACCAATTAATACCGATTTTTTAAAACCTTTGATACCGATAAGCTTTAAAACATTCTGGCAACGCTGGACCGAAGTCTTTGTCCATATGACCCAAATTAAAAACTGTCATCTTATTTTTGTACTGGCTGCCTGATCCAGCTGGGGAAGATCTTTTTCAGGCCAGTAAATTAATAAAGATGTTTACACAATTAAATATAAATAATCGGACTGCAACGTGATTGTGCTTGGTGAGTTCAACATTACATACTTGGTAAAAACACCACTCGGTGCAGCGCGGTGGCAACCTAATCGAGGGGAAGACTGCTTTCATTTGAGTACCTCTTTTACTCTAAGTTGCTCAGAGCTACTCTGATTTGCTCTGGAATCTGATCTAATTTGCGACGAAAACAGAAACGTAAACAATAATTGTTTACGTTTCTGTTTTCGTCGCAAATTTAATAAAGCTTTAAAAAAAATTCTTTAATTATTAAAGAATTTTTTTTAAAGCTTTATTAAAGAGATTTTTAGTCTTAGGCTAGTTCATCTCTAACAATGAAAGAAGGAAAACAATGGATGTAACATTTAAATCATGGAAATGATCTAATTTTCTACCAGTTTATGGAAGTTTGGCTATTTTATGATAGCACCGTGTAATGAAATTGACAGGGATCTGGCCACCGTAATACTGAGCATCCAGGTGCTTAAACCAAGCGAATAGATATTCCCTTTTGGGTACACCCTATGAAAAATTCATGTTAATTTCATTATTGCACGATATTTCATGTAAAGGGTCATATGTTAGGGTTATATCATATTTTTAAAACACCTTGTTACAAAATAACCCATTAGGGTAAAAACTAAAAAGATTATGAACTGGACTTTTTAACACAAATTTTCATGGATGTTCAGAGCATAGACTCATGAAGATTAAGTTCACCAAGGACACCAAATGAACGCGATGTAATGATGCATTCTGATCACGCTTTGAAGACGTCATATAGAGTGCATTTAGAATTACAATAAGCAGTATCCGAAAATTTTAAAAAGCAAGATGAATGTTACACTAGACTGATGCAAAATTTGAAATTCTCGCTCCACAGTGTTCAAACAGTTTCAATTCGTGTCCTGATTAGCCTCCGTAAGTTTAAACTCGTTTGATAAAACACTGACTTGGCACAAACCATTTGAAGTTTATATGGAAATTACTATGGGAAAACAAAACTTTTTGTTCATTGTCTTCTAGCCTTTTTACATATTGTACTGTTAACAAATTATAAATATTACTATTCTTATGAGAATTTTTATCAGCTACAACTTTGCAGAAAATTGTTTTTCAGCCAAACGTCAAATTAAATAGTTATTAATTGTTTACGAGATTGATAATCTTATGGCAAGATTAAGCAACTGTATTGTGGGCAACACTGTATTCTGCAGTGTGACATAGTAGCCATGATTTTAGTCCTCTATTCTACGCGCCATAAATACCAATGATGCCTGCTGAACAGTTGATTGAGCATAATCATAAGACATCAGTGACTTGAATCATCAATAATTTTTGTTTCTTACATTTGATCTAAAAGTGGTCTATAACAAAGTTGTAGCTGAGAAAAATTTCAACAAGCTCAGCTATCATTTTTCAAAGTAGAATGAACTGGTGAATTTTGAGATAGATATGATCCGAAATTATGGTTTCTCCAAAGTAATTCCCATATAAACTTCAAATGGTTTGTGCTAAGTCAGTTTCTCACTAAATGAGTTCAAATTTTGGGAGGCTAATCAGGGCCCAATTTGGAACCGTTTGAGCACTGTGGAGCGAAAATGTCAAATTTTGCATCAGTCTAATGTTACACGTTGTATCGAATTGCGTGGGAGTTTTGTTTGATACCGCGAAAATTGTACAGAATTGAGCAATTGATGATTATTGTCGGTCACGTCAGACACCGGAAAAAATCAGCATTGACAGTTTGCGTATTGGTCGGAGATATTGGAGTTGGAGTCTTGGAGATGATTTTGTAGTTTTTGGACAATCTTTATCATTTTGGTAGTCATTTTAAGTCGAGTGAAATCATTTTCGTCCAAAGAGAGAAAAGTTTCTATGTCGTCGATTTCTTCTTTTCCTAGAAAAATATGATAATATTATATTATGATCAACAGTTGTAGTTAATAATAAATAATGATAATTTCAGATAGATGTCTATTAATCATTGCGATTATAAAATCGACGCAAAATGTATTTTGTTGTACTTCCAAATGGGGACCAAAATGAAGAACTGATAATTTGCCGTCAGATATTACTATTTCGTGTATAATGCCATAGGTAGGGAAGTATTCGTTTTTATGTTGCTTCATTCCAATCAGCAGTTTTTTTTTTCTAAAAACGATTCCGTTCAGCGTTACAGTTTTTGGAGTAAAAACGAACTCTATACC